AACCATTTTAGTTCTATAAGATCAACATCGAAAAAATTGGCAAGAAATATTTTATCTCTTCCTATCTCTATATAAACATCATGTGGAGTATCTGTAGCACTTGTTATCACATCTGGATCGGTCTTATTATAGGCGTGCATCGCAAATTCCATTAGGTGATAGAATTGGGAATCAATGGTAACATCGCAAATTCCATTAGCTGCTATTACTGCTTTCAATTTGTTCATTTTCTGTATCTGCAGCAAACGTGACAGCTAGCTATATGTAGATAAATTCTGCAGAATAACATTGGATAACATTAACATTTGAAAACAATTAGGTAAACAAATATGATAAAAAAATGCTAATTACTAAGTATTTCCATCTCAAACACTTTGTGGTGTGTGTATCATGCGTGCGTCGTCCATGCGTGGTTCTTGCATTATGTGATATCAGAGAAAAAAATTCATGGTATCAGAGCGATATATATGTATCAGAGAAAAAAAGTTCATGAAAAAAATTCATGGTATCATCAACTTGTGCAGTGTAGTCTTTGTTGGAACTTACTTGGAGGAAGAGTTTGGATCACGTAATCATTTCAATCTTATTGTTTTCAATGCATTAGAAAAGTGAGAGGCAACATAATTGTTTCCAATATGTTATGTTAATTTTTATCATGTTATTCTGCAGGATTTATCTACATACTATTAGCTGCCATGTTGGCGGCAGAAAATGGAAAGATAAGTGATAATGGCGGCGATGATGACAGTGCCAACGACGGTAACAATGATATTGCAACGATGCCAACAATGACAGTGACAGTGATGGTAACAATGACAATAGTGGCGCCAGCACTGCCAGCACCAATGTTAGAGATATTCCGTTGGTCATAAGACCACCGGATGGAGGTGACGATCGACTAATAAATAATATCTATGTTGGAACTAATACGGGGTATACTTTCATGGCAAACGACCTTTGGCACATGGCACCAGTGCCTCAGGAGTCAGAACTACTACCCCAACATATTATAGCCCTAGAACAACTACCCCAACATATTATCGCCCTGCCTGGAATGATTACAGGGTCAACTATATGGAAGTGGTTAATATTCAAGAGGTAGCCATGAACCCATGTATGCATGGAAGTGTCGGAACTCCATGTGATTAACTTATGGAGGACTTAGAGATAGCGGTTTTCGAAGAACTGAATAGGCCTTTGATCCTCATATTACCGAGTGCTGGAATTAACCTTGAAAGAGAGTTCTTTGCTTTAAGAAAATTTCTTACATGCAGTTTAGAGAGATTTTATCACATCATGAAATTGTGTATGTATGCGTACAATACGACTGATCCAATGCAGATAACATATCCGTTAAATGTTCCAAATGATGTTTATATACACATTAATGGTGTTACATTACTTGCCACTTTTTTTATGCTAAATTCGTATGGAACGATATTGAGAATATACTTGATTTTATTTGTATTCAACATGTATGGGGTATGAGTGGTATGGTTACAGATAAAAACTATTTTGATTTTTTTATTTTCTTTTTTTTAATCATTTTTTATTTCAACAAGATCTTGGTGATTCAAAGGGCTTGAAGGCCGCTTTGATATTGTTCTTTCAAGACCTTGGGTCTTTTTTTTTTTTTTTTTTTTTTTAAATAGGCTTTGGACCTTGTGATTTGTGGTGACTTTTGGTTTCAATCGAACTGTTAAGCGATTTTCATAATTTTTTGACCAAATTAGTGAGTATTCTATGGACCCGGATCCATATTCCGAGGTGCACTCTGGTCCAAAATACATAATTTACATACTGAAGGTTTACAATTTTGTAAAAAGTAAATTGTGAATATTTAATTTATAAATTGTTTATGTAAATTATAAAACATGTAAGATTGTGCTTTCTTGTTTAAAATATAAAATAATCATATCCATTCATCTAAATTGATTAATAATTAAACATTAAAGAAAAAATATAAGATTAGTTTCATAAATATTATAAACTTTTCAAAGTTGATCTAGAACATAGATTTTCCAAAACGTCTAACCAAATATAATTTTAGTGAGCATCAAGAATTCAACAATTTAATTTTTTTTTTTTTTTTGAAAACCAACCAAAGAATGATTGTATCAATGAATCAAAGCTGCAATGCAGTCAGGGGGGATATAATCCCAATACATAGTTTGATCCTGAACAAAAGCTAACGAAGCTAGCGTATGCGCATGCGAATTAATCTGCCTAGAAATATAATTTAACAAGACATAATTAAATGACGAAATTAAACTCCTACATTGGTCTATTACGACCCCAACATAGGACGTTATGATGGTTGATTTCTGTCGTATAGCATTCCTCAGTTGTATACAGTCTGTGTGAAGGATGACCGTTGTTATATTCTTCTCCAATAGCCAGGATAGAGCCTCCTTACATGCCAAAGTCTCCGCCATAAACGGCGACAAATAATTTGGGAGTTTTCCATTTTTTGTCGCCAAAAAAGATCCTTCTGGAGACAACAACACAATGCCGTATGTAGCTTCCCCCGTGTCCTCCCGGTATCCAGCATCCACGTAACACCGTGGCATGGCGTCTCCCTCGCTTTCCACCGTAGCAGCCGCGGGTGTAGCTGGGCAGCGGCGTGCAACCTGCCGGAAAGACTGCAGCGTCGCCGTGGCTTGTCTCCATGCTGCCGTAGGGTGAGGAAGTGCACCGTCCCATACGGCTGAATTTCTGCATCTCCATAGACGATAAAGCAGCGCCACTACGGCTCCACTTTGATCCCCTGTTAACATTGTAAGCACAGTTGTTAGCCACTCGGGGAACGAGTTGGACAACAATATTTGTTATATGCAGTCCTGAAATATTCCAAACATATCTAGAATAATCACAAGTAGTCAATGTATGCATCACATTCTCATGTGCCACCCCACACATTTGGCATGTGGGATCCACTTCAACCCTCTTTATAATCAAATTATTAGTTGTTGGAAGAACATCACAAATTGCTCTCCACAACAAAGTCTTCCATTTTGGGGTATCTTCATCCTCCTCATTGTAGTCCATTTCTCAAAATCCCCTAGTGAGTGGTTATAAACACTCATAATGTTCTTGTAGGCATTCTTAACTGTATATACCCCATTAGGGTCATCGGGCCAATACCATGAGTCCTCATATCCCGGACTTACAGGTATTCTCAGTATCCTATCCACATCCTCCTCATCAAATAAATCTGTTAAAATATGTGGATCCCAGGTAGCAGTCTGGTCATCTATTAAACCTGCCACTTTAGCATGTCTGAGCTCTATAGGCATATCTGTTTGTATTAGGGGGCTAGGATTATCAGGGAGCCATGGGTGTCCCCAGATTAATGTCGTTCTACTATCCCCAATCCTCCTCCGCACCCGTGCTACCACCATATCATGAGCTGCCATAATACTCCTCCATGAGTAGCTTGGGCATCCTCCTACCTTAGCATCAATAAAAGAGGTATTCGGATAGTACCGAGCCTTATAAACTTTTGCAACAAGGGAATCAGGACTTGTGAGTTGCCGCCATGCTTGCTTTCCCAACATTGCCACATTAAAACTCCTGAGATCCTTAAATCCCATTCCCCCAAATTTCTTTGGGATACTCAGCTTATCCCAAACTTTCCAGTGTATTCCCCTATCCATACCAGTGCCCCACCAATACTTGTTCATTGCTCTCTGAATTGATAAACACACTGTTTCTGGGATCAAGAAGACACTCATCGAAAAGGTAGGCATGGATTGTGCCACACTTTTTAATAGAATTTCCTTTCCTGCATGTGACAGAAACTTCTTGTTCCATGAGCTAATCCTCTGCTTTATTTCATCCTCAATATACGAGAACACTGCCCTTTTATTCCTCCCCACAAAAGATGGTAAACCCAGATATTTCCCAAAATTGGGTGTCTGGTCTACCTATAAACAAGTTGCCACCACTTCCGTGTCATCCACACTGGTATTCCTGCTAAAACAGACACTGGACTTGTGATAGTTCACCTTCTGTCCTGACAACTCCTCATATCGTCCCAGACACTGCTTAATTACTTCTGCTTCTCGGTCATTCGCTTTAAAGAAGCTATCATCCGCAAAAAAAATAAATGTGATATCTGTGGGGCTCCCCTAGCCACTCTGCAGCCATGTATTAAGCCAGCAATCTGAGCTCTCTGTAGCAGCATAGATAATCCCTCAGCACATATGATAAACAAATACGGAGACAAAGGATCTCCCTGCCTTAACCCCTTGGTCGGTGTTACACTCCCACTAGTAACACCATTAATCAGGATGTTATATTGGACAGTAGTGACACACTGCATCAATAAATTAATCCACCGGTCATCAAAACCCATTACCTCCAACATCCTTCTCAAGAACTGTCATTCCATCCTATCATATGCCTTTGCCATATCTAGTTTCAAAGCTGCCCACCCCTTCTGACCACACTGCTTCCTATTCAAATAATGCCCCACTTCCGCAGCTATAAGAATATTATCAGTAATAAGCCTCCCAGGAATAAAAACACTCTGAGCCTCTGAGATGAGGTCCCCCATAAGTGATTTCGTCCTATTGGCTATTACCTTTGCTATAATTCTGTACAACACATTACTTAGCGGTATCGGTCTCATGTCAGATACTGTCTCAGGCACATTCTTCTTCGGAATTAAAATCACATTAGTGTCATTTAATCTCTCAGGGAGTGAACCTGAATTCAAGCAGTTTACAATAAATTCAGTCACATCCCCCCTACAATGTCCCAAAATTCCTGGTAGAATCCAGGATTCATACCATCCGGTCCTGGCGCTTTGTCAGGGAACATTGCAAATAAAGCACACCTGACCTCCTGAATCTCAAACGGGCGAAGTAACACAGTATTTTGTTCATTAGTTACACGGGGAGTAAAATCATCAAACATGGGATCCTCACACTCAGTATTTGATGATGTAAAAATAGCAGCATAATAATCCAAGACAACTTTCTTCATATTTTCCCCATCTACCCAGGCACCACATCATTTTTCAATCTAGGAATATAATTTTTCCTTCTACGGGCAGAAGCATACCTGTGATAGAATTTGGTATTGTAATCCGCACCGCGGAGCAAGTGCTGTTTTGCCCGTTGCCTCCAAAAAACATCCTCCAGCACCTCCAATTGGCCCAGCCTTTCCTCAAGATTGCGAAACTCGGCCAATGCAGCCGAATCCCGCTTATGACGCAGCGCATCCTGCTCCTTTCTCAACTGCTTTATGCGGTCACCGGACTTATGCCAATGTTCCCCACCCCACCGCATGAGCCTCCCTCCACAATGTTGCTAACAAATCAACAACCCCTTATCCCTACCATCCTGCCAGGAAGTCTCCACCACACTCCGGCAACCTTCATCATGAACCCAAGCCATCTCAAAACGAAAGCGTCTCGCCCCCCCCCCCCCCCCCCCCCCCCCCTCCCCTGTCTGCGCACCAGTGCAATATCAGTGTTTAGGAAGAGAGCCGAGTGATCAGATTTTCGAGTAAGAATATTTTCAACCCAAGCCTCACCATGCAAATCAGTCCATTGTGCTGTCACCAAAACCTTATCCAGCCTCTCCTCCAACCACCTCTCAGTTCCTTTCCCCTTCTCCCATGTAAACTGGTGACCTCTCATTGGCAATTGAACGAGACCGCAATTGTGTACAGTATCTCCAAAGCCCCTAAAGAGACATACCGGATGCGGGTTCCCCCCTCTTTTCTCATGCTGATATAACAGGTCATTAAAATCTCCCACAACCACCTAGGGTAATGTAGATTTTTCATTTAAACCACTCAATAACTGCCATGCCTCCTTGTGTCTATGCCTCAGCGGGAACCCATAGAAAGACGTCATACGCCATATTTCCCCCCTTATAGCTACCTCCACATCCACATGGTTTTTTGAATAGCCCAACAGCCTAGAAGTATTATTCTTTTTCCATAATAATGCCAAGCCACCCCCTCTCCTATCGTTATCTACGTAAAACAGACCCTCAAAACCAATCTTGACACGTAACCTTTCTGCATGACTCCGATCTACTTTAGTTTCCATCAAGTAGACGAAATCGGGCTTCTTACGGGACACCATGTCCACCACCTCTCGAACTGTCTGTGGATTGCCCAAGTCACGACAGTTCCAGCTTATCGTACTCATTGTGATGGGCGGGCCTGACCACCCGGACCCGCCGTAAACCCGTTTTTTGAGAATTCTGTCATCACCACATCTCCCGTATCCAACCTTAAATTACCATCGTCCACCCCATCCCCCCTCCTTCTTTTAGAAGCTGCTACCACCACCCCCTCACCCGCCCTCACCTCTCCAAGCCGTACACAACCCACACCCTCTACTCCTTCAATACCCGTACCCCTCACCTTCTCCTTCCCTCTCGCCACACCCTTACCCTTCCCCTCAAGTGGTACCAACCGTGGCTCCCCCACCTGCCTAGGTCCCCGGCTGCCTCCCCCCGCCTTCAGGTCCGCCGTGTACGGGAACTTTTCCGGCGTTAGTCCAGATTTCCTTGCCAACTTACAAAACTTATCGGCATGCCCCAGTAAACCACAATAAAAGCAAAAGTTATGTAAATGTTCATACCGAAAATTCACCCAACAGCTTGTCTTGTCCCGCTTAATAAGTTTCATTATCCGCTTTAGCGGCTTGTCCACCGGTATTGAGACCCGGACCCGGACCCGGTGAAACGTTTTCCATGGTGCACCTGGATAACGATCATCAACTTTAACAAACGAGCCAATAAAATTGGCAGCTTGTTCAAGAACCGCCTCCGAAGTATATCCCAACGGTAAGTCATAAAGTTGTACCCACATATCCACCGACTTCAATTCAACCGTTTCTGGTCGAGCACCCGCCCCCACCTGTCTGCAAACGAGGGTGCTATTATCAAACGACCATGGCCCTTCATCGAGGACCCTTTGCATATCAGTTTCATCATAGAATATGAACATAAACAATCCCGGTTGAAACTCCGTAACCTGCTTACCCCACACCGGTTGCCAAACCGAGGCCATAACCTGCCGCATGTATTCTAGCTTCACTACCTTGGACGTCAAGAATCTGCTAACACACACCCACCGCTGTTCCTCCTCCTCCGCAACCACATCAACATCCTCCCCCACCGGTTCAAAACCAATCTCCTCCTCCTCCTCCAAAGCTATATCGGCCCATCGCTGCGTAAGCCGTTCAATCACCTCGTCTGCCCGTTCGAGCGCCGGAAGGATATCGTCCGTCGCATGTACGTTCGACTCCATCGGTCTCACCGTCGAAAAACACTTCTGTCGTCGTTAGCTTTGTCGGAAAGCAACCGTTCGTGAAGAAAGTCGAAGAAATTCCAGAAACCCTAGCCAAAAACCCTAGGAAAAAGGCGGAGCTCTATAGAGAGTTCTAGAGAGAGAAGTATGGTAACAATCACTTTTAATTACCTTAAATGTTATCGTTCAACAATCAATTTACTTCAATTATATTACAGCTTTTGTCTAAGTCATAATATAATCTCTCATTCAATACTATTATTCTAAGATCGACCTTGCATTGAGCGAGTCATGGCCAAAGAAATATATAGATTATGTATATTGGGTTTGAGGTTCTCTGATCCAGTGAACATCTTGACAACAATAGAACCTAATTAAGAACCATATATAATTATAGATTTAATACCCAAAATGTCATCGACTATAGTGGTTTTTCTCAATTCTGTCCTTAACGACTTTGGTGACTTAATGTAGTCCCAGAGTTTTGTGTTTTTACTCAATTTAGTCCCAGACTTTTGTGTTTTTACTCAATTTAGTCCCAGACTTTTGTGTTTTTACTCAATTTAGTTCCTCATTTGTTATTCCGTTCATTTGTTGATAAATAAATAGACAATTCAGTAATTTTAATATTGGCATCTCTTACTTATAGACATGTGAAGTGCGAAATCCTTCTTTTTTTACGAATTACTCCCAGTCGTTACCAAAGTCGTTTAGGACGAAATTGAGAAAAACCACTATAGTCGAGGACCATTTCAGGTATTAACTCTATAATTATATATAAAAGTCTCTGTTACATGGACTTTCAAATCTTACTTTTTAAATTTTATTCTCGCGGGCACTGATAAACTACTTTTTTCATGTGGGTCCCATACAAGTGTCGATCTACATCAAGAATTTGTGTGTGGGAGAACAGTAAAAGTTGAGAGTAGAAAATGAGAGTACATGTAGTTTTTTCGTATGTCATAATCCAAGGTTTGGTGTATCCCGGTGTTCAAATATTCCTTCCAGTGATGCATAAACTAAACTCCCAGGCCACAACAGTAGTAGTATGGATAAAACTAATAACGTTCTTCACCATAGCAGTAATCTTTATCATTGTAATATATTTTGTCTTTATCACCTGTACGCAACAAATTTTAAGATGAGTTTACTTCTCGAGTGATAGGAAAAGCGAGGATGTTTTCAAGTTTTAAGTCACAATGAACAAACCCCTTGTCGTGAAAGTGTAAAACCATTGAGATCAAATCCAGTAAATGTAGAAATGCAAGTAAGATTCCATGAATTTTTTTGTTCCTTAGAATTTGCTGTAAACCAATAATGTTTAAACCTAATTAATTCAACAAATGATTTCTTTCTTCTTTTGGTAATCTTTTGGTCATGCCATTCCAGAGCCATCAGAACCTGGCCTCAACTATATATGCCCGAATTCTTGAAGAACTATCATATCGCAGAACGATCCTCAAGCATTCCTTTAATTTGCCACTTTTACAACATATACTTTGCCCATTCTAGGTTGTGGTTAGGTTTAATTTGCACACTTGACCACGAGCAACCTATATTCAAACTGCAGATGAAGCCATGACTGTTAGATCAAATGCCGTGCCTGTGGAAAATGTAGTTCAGTTAGCTTTAGTCGATTAGGTAGCCGAGAAAATTCTGAACAAAAAAGAGTTGGAGTTTTAAAAATGGTGACCTTTCTCAACTTCTGCAGAATGTTAGAGAGAAGCTGAACAAAGTTACTGATGTAAGTTTCTCAGTAACCTTATTTGGATTCACTAAATTTATCAAAATCTTTGAACTCATTTTACTGTCATTCTTTAAATCTCACTTGCACTGTTTGTAATGTCCAAGCAAAGCGACGATCGCACTTCCACTACTGTTATTGTGTATGTTTAATGGCACAGGCTGATGCCATTGTCCATTGTTGAATGCTCCTTTCCTTGGTTTCAATATAAGGCTATCTATATATACTACGTTGCCTACTGTATTTTTAATATGCAAATTCAAAAATTGGATTTGAACCTCGGGTGTGTTTGGAAACTCGGAAAATGATTTCCAATCATTTTTCAGGTTTCAAGTTTTTACAATACTTGTTTTTGGTTTCCATGACGGGGCATTGCAGGGTAGGGGTGAGCATCAGTCGATTTTCTGTTAATAACCGAAAAAAATTATCCTTGGCATACTAAAATAACCAAAGCACCACTCATAACCGAACCGACCAAAAATTGGTTATATATGATCGGTTATTTTTAACCGAACTTTATTACCTGCTGTAATTTCTTAAAAATATTAGCTTAAACTCAAAAATTTTATCACTAAAAACACATTACTAGTTAAAATATTCAATTGCATACAAATTTCAAAATCAAATGTCCTTTTAAGTAATAAAAATCACAAGTCTAATAGACTAACCGTTCGTAAATTAAAATATGCTCCAAAGTCCAAATGAGCTCACTGGCTCACTGCCAATGTGCCAAAGTGGCTAACAGCAGACAATTGTTATATCGTGCATTGTGCGCCCTACAAATCCCATGTTTCGTATGTACATAATTGTATAGCAGAATACACATAAATTCCTAAAACAATACACATAATCTAACATAATACATAATACACATAAACTCTTAACATAAAATACACATAAACTCTTAGGGTGCACAATGAATTGTACGTCCTGGTACACGATATAATTTGCCAACAGCTAGAAAAAGGGAATTAGGTTATTTTCTATATTCAATGTGGAGTGGGTTTTTGGTCCTAGACTTATAGTGGCACGGACAATTTTGGTCCTCTATAAAAAAAATCAGACAATTTGTGAACACTCTTATTGTGACGAGGACAATTTTGGTCCTCCGTCAACATTTTCGAGATGACCGTTTGAAAGGAGGGTATTTGCGTCATTTCATGATATCTCTTTCTTGCATCCTTCTAGGGTGTCCTTTTAGCAACCAAATACACCGCAACATGGCCTAGCACCCAGGGGTTTGGAAATAGCTACCATGCTCAAGAATCAAGATATAAACGAGACAAATCCCGATCAACCATTCTTTCTAACTCAGCATTCCTGAAGAAGCGACCCATATGCTATATACAAAGTATAATCATAAGAAATTAACTTGAATAAAAGTTTAACACGTACTAGGAATGCTACAGAAAAACAATCAAGTCCATGAAAAGATCAAGAATCAAGTTGTTCGTGAAGAGATGCTAAAGAAAAACACATATATCCTACCAGGGTTTTGAGACAATAAGTTCTTCATAACAAGATCTGGAGAGGTACTACCATCCATTGGTACATGTGGATTAATTAGAAGCTGTCTCCTCATAGCAACATAACTGCAAGAAATGAACAATTAGGTTAAGGGTAGAAATGTCCGATAATGACACAATTGTCACTCATGTAAGACAGGTTGAAGTTGTTTGCAGTTAGTAGCCAAAAACTATCTTTGAGCTGTAGTACCCTAGATTTTTTTCAACTCTAAACTAAACAAATTGTTTGCCATTTAATAATGTGCTATGACACACCTAAGGAAATATAAGCATTTGTCAATCTGATTGTTTTTGTTTAACTTTTACACTTTTAATGTACCAAGTATTCACATTGGATGATGTTAGTTCACAGAAATTAGAGGAAATAGATTTAACTTCTAACATAAATATTTGTTGAAAATTTGGGACCTTTGTAACCAGAATCGCTTATTATCCAACAATTTTTTTTAAAAGAATATCATTTTCCAATGACTGCTAAGGAAATGGTTGAAATTCAATAACGTAAATGGCAGACACCAATATATAGACTTGTAAAAGAATGAATTCAGAGATACGACGAAGAAGCAATTATATAAATTTATTAACTTTAAATTATCTAAATTCCATCATAGTACTAACAAAATCATGAAATATGATGACAAAAACAATGAAAAATAAGAATTTTATGCGACATAAACTCCAATTAAACCCCATAGAAAAAAGAATTACCTTCTACGTAAGTCTGCAGTCACGCGGCGAAGATCGATTATAGAAGCAGATGGAGAAGACGGCAAGATCCCCAAATCGATGCACCATCGTTGGAAGATATGGATCTGTGGTCACGCGGCGAAGATCGATCCCCTCTCAGATCACGAAAACACAGAGTCCTCTGTGGAGATGGAGGAGAAGAAGAAGACGGCGAAAACGACGTCGTTGGAAGCAATGTCTGCTCAATCGGAACCGGCGACACGGAGTACTTTGTATGTAGGCACAGAAATTCCGTGTTGAGCTTCTGAACTTATCACGAAAATTAAGGAGATATTATGAAATGACGTAAATACCCTCCTTTCAAAGGGTCATCTAATAGGAATGTTGACACAGGATTAAAATTGTTCTCGTCACAATAAGAGTGTTCACAAATTGTCTGATTTTTGTATGGAGGATCAAAATTGTCCGTGTCACTATAAATCTATGACCAAAAATGTCTTTTACTCTTCAATGTGTTTTCATTGTGTTGTGCAGTTTCAATTGGCAAATTATATTGTGCACCAGGTCACACAATGAATTGTGCGCCCTGGCCAAAACGACATCGTTTTGGTCATATTTTTTTAGAAATTCCGTTTCCCGTTTCTACTGTTAACTTCAAAAAATAAAAAATAAAAACTAAAAAATTCCCTGTTTCGAATATACATAAACTCATAACAGAATACTCATAACCTAACATAATGCATAATATACATAAAATCTTAACATAATACACATAAACTCTTAATAAAATACACATAAACTATTAACATAATACACATAAACTAATAACATAATACACATAAACTTTTACCAGAATACGCATAAACTCTTAACATAATACACATAAAATCTGAACATAAAAATGACGTCATTTGGACAGGGCGCACAATGCATTGTACACCCTGGTGCACGATGTAACGATTGGTTTCAATTTGGGCTAAGTGGCTAAAAGCAAACTAATATATTTATATAAATGAGTATTGGAGCTTATGAGCTAGTGGGCTACATTAAAACAATCGTTATATCGTGAATCAGGGCACACAATGCATTGTGCGTCCTGCCTAAAACGACGTTTTTTATGTTGAGATTTTATGTATATTATGTTAAGAGTTTATGTGTATTCTGTTTAAAGTTTATGTGTATTATGTTAAGAGTTTATGTGTACTATGTTATGAGTTTACGTATATTATGTTAAGAGTTTATGTGTATTATGTATTATGTTAAATTATGTGTTTATGTGTATTCTGTTATGAGTTTATGTACATTCGAAACAGTGAATTTTTTTTAAGAAGTTAACGGCAGAAACGGGAAACAGAATTTCTAAAAAAAAACATATACAAAACGATGTCGTTTTGTCCAAGACGCACAATACATTGTGTGCCCTGGTGCACGATATAATTTGCCACATTAAAATGTATGGACTTGACCTCGATTTTTCGGTCAATTTTATTTTTCTCGGTCTAAAACTGATAACTGACTAGAAAATATCGAAATGACCAATTTTTTAAAGGCTATAATAAAAAATAGACCAAAAACGATATTATTTATCTAATTCAAAATAATCATTATCATTATTTTGAATATAATTAATGAACAAAATTGACTATAATGAATGTTTAACCATTCTTTTGATTTTTATTGTAACCTATGATTAATGAATTAACTTCCTTATTTAATAAAAAAAATGAACAAAATTATTATTTGTTAATTATAACCATTATTTTGAACCTAAATCATTTCTATAATTTCTATTAGTTTGTAGTATTTTCGACATATATTATTATTACTAGTTTTGTACGCGCATTGCGCGATTGGGATAATGCCCAATGCTTTTTTTAAAATAAATACTTTAAAGTATATTAAGGCAGGATTATATTGAAACTGTTCATGCATAGATAATTGAAGGTTGAATTTGCGTATTTAAATAGGTAATTCTTCTCCCAAAGGTTGAGTCCCCAACCTCAAGGGCCCCAACAGAGCATTGTGAGAAGTTATAAATCACGGTGACTCAATGGTTCAGCAGACAGGCTGCCGCCGCCGAGGTTCAAACCTTGGTCTCTTCTCCCAAATACTACCCACTAAACCATTGAGCTAAGCCCGTGCGGGTTAAATAGGTAATTCTAAGTTTACAAATGCAAGATAATATAGTCAGGATTGATTATAATTGTCAATAAAATAATTGTATAGGTATGGTTGAAACCAAATACAGGACATAAGGGAGAACAAATAAAAATTATTTATCTAAAACTGATAACTGACTAGAAAAAATCGAAATGACCAATTTTTTAAAGGGTATAATAAAAAATCGACCAAAAACGAAATTATTTATCTAATTCAAAATAATCATTATCATTATTTTGAATATAATTAATGAACAAAATTGACTATAATGAATGTTTAACCATTCTTTTGATTTTTATTGTAACCTATGATTAATGAATTAACTTCCTTATTTAAGAAAAAAATTGAACAAAATTATTATTTATTAATTATAACCATTATTTTGAACCTAAATCATTACTATAATTTCTATTAGTTTGTAGTATTTTCGACATATATTATTATTATTATAACATAATTTACCATATATAAAGCATCTATTATTATTATTATTATTATTATTATTATTATTATTATTATTATTATTATTATTATTATTTAATCCCTCTAAAAAAATAAATTAATTTTAGATATATACAAACAAAAATCTTTTCCTAGTATGGGCGGGTTTCCTAGTATGGGCGGGAATAGAATTATGTTTTTAATTAATATGGTTCACGGAGGACTGTGGACCCTTGTCTATATTAAAGAGCTCAAACCTGTTAGGAATAAAGAAAGTAGACCTGTTTAGATTCTAATTAGGAATTCTAAAGAAAGTAGGCTTGATGATCAAAAGGTTGGGGCAGTTTCTAAGATCATAAGATGAGTTCCACTTAGGGGTGTAAACGAGCCGAGCCGAGCCCGAGCTTGGGTAGGCTCATGCTCGTGCTCGTTAATGATAGCACTGCTCGAGCTCGAGCTCGAGCTCGTGAACTGATGCCCGAGCTCGAGCTCGGCAATTGTCGAGCTGCTCGAGCTCGAGCACGAACAACTCGATTGTTCGAGCTCGAGCTCGAATTCGAGCCTGAACTCGAGCTCGAGTTCAGGCTCGAAGTCGAGCTCGAGTTTAGGCTTGAATTTGAGTTCAATTTTGATGTCGAATTTGACCTATTTGATTTAGGGGTGTAAACGAGCCGAGCCGAGCCCGAGCCTGGGTAGGCTCATGCTCGTGCTCGTTAATGATAGCACTTCTCGAGCTCGAGCTCGAGCTCGTTCGAGCTCGTGAATTGATGCTCGAGCTCGAGCTCGGCAATTGTCGAGCTGCTCGAGCTCGAGCAGCTCGATTGTTCGAGCTCGAGTTTAGGCTCGAATTTGAGGTCAATTTTGATATCAAATTTGACCTGTTTGATTCAAAATTTAAACTACTTTGTTTTATGACTTTTATCCATACATAATTATTAAAGTATTTTAATTTCACTCCCCTAATTATTATTTTTATATACTAAATATAATATAATTATATTACATATTATATATTATATAATATATTATAAGGCTCGCGAACGGCTCGTCGAGCCGCGAGCCTACAATACCTAAGCTCGGCTCGTGCTCGTTTAATCCACGAGCTACTCGAGCTCGAGCCGAGCTCAATTTTAACCGAGTTCGAGTCGAGCGTTAACCGAACCGCTCACGAGCGACTCGCGAGCAGCTCGGCTCATTTACACCCCTAATTTGATTTAAAATTTAAACTACTTTGTTTTATGACTTTTATCCATACATAATTATTAAAGTATTTCAATTTCCCTCCCCTAATTATTATTTTTATATACTAAATATAACATAATTATATTATATATTATATATTATATAATATATTATAAGGCTCGTGAGCGGCTCGTCGAGCCGCGAGCCTACAATACCTAAGCTCGGCTCGTGCTCGTTTAATCAACGAGCTGCTCGAGCTCGAGCCGAGCTCGATTTTGACCGAGTTCGAGCCGAGCGTTGACCGAACCGCTCACGAGCGACTCGCGAGTGGCTCAGCTCATTTACACCCCTAATTCCACTAGGGAGTGAGCATAGTGCAAAGTTGAGATCTATCAAATCATAATCAATATTTTGAACCTAAATCATTACTATAATTTCTATTATTTTCTAGTATTTTGGACATAAATTACTTAAGAACAAGATTTCGCCCAGCACAGTCAACCGCATGCATTATGGAACCACTCGCGTGTTGCACAAGTTCCTGCAGGGATCGCCGGCCGTCGAGCACCTCCGCATCCGCAACTGCGACCGGATCGAGAGACTCGTCAACGGCGTCTACAAGATCGTGATTCCGGCGGAAAATCTCAAGTATTTTGACTGCGTGGTCCGGAGATGCTACCCGCAGACGGTGACCATGGACATCCAGTCCCGGGTTCTCCAAGCTTTCCGTTTCAAGTACTTGCCGTCACCGGCGCGTGGCAAACACCCGCCGCATTTCAGGATGAATATCGACCTCACGCGCCACCCATCCCTGATGCAGTTGCGGCTGAAGAGGGTGACGTTTCTCCGGCGCTCAGATCGCCTCCCGATGGACTTCATCCCCGGAGCCTTGGCCGCCGTTCAAGATTTGCGCCTGAAATTTTACCGGTTTCAGCCGCGGAACTCCGTCCCCGACCGCACCATTCTCACCCAGAGCCTTACCAGATTGGTGTTGTCTGAAAACGTAGGATTCAACCTCGGCGTCAACATTGTTGCCCCAAGTTTAGTTTCGCTCAAATACCATAATTCTTCTTCGAACCCATCAAACCCTTTGTCTCACATTATCGCCCCAAACCTCCAGGACATTCATATCAAAATCAAAGCACCCAATCGACTTTCTCTCATAGCCTCCATTAATGATGAACTCAAGAAGCTTAGAATCTATCCCTATGTTAACATACAATGCTTCCCTCTTCCCCACAAAGAACAGCAACGGATAGTGATGCAACAAAAGCTATTTGAAGTGAACTGGAAATCTCAGTTGGAATGTGAATCATTTGCAGGTAATGGTGTATGCATATCATCCCGATCAAGGACTGCTGATTTATTATATTCTGCATGATGAAGATCCCGATCATCGGTCAAAAGTCGTTGGCTCAAGTGAAAGATCGAGACTTGAATCTTTTAAGTATGATCACTTTTTTTTTTTTTGGAAGAATTGTCTC